CGCGGACGTGCCCATCCATAAGGGCTTGGGCAGCGTGGAGTTCCAGGTCATGGAGGACCGCGACTGGGGGCGGAGCTTCTTCCCGATGAGCGATGAGCCGGGCGCCCTCATCATGGGCCCGTCGGGGTGGCAGGGCGGCAGCTGGTGGACGGAGATCCCAAAAGGCTGCCGTCTGCTTCACGTGGTGTGGGACCTTCGAGGCAGCCGCAGCCTCGAGTGGACCTTCTTCGGGCGCAACGGGCGCCCCCTGAAGCCCCCTGTACTGGAAGGTCCCTTCTTCCTCGCCGGTTCGTGGAACTCGTGGCAGGAGTTCGCCGAATTTGTTCCGCAGGCTGGCGACGGCCCCCCCTACGTGGCCAGCGTCGAGGTAGGCCCCGGGTGGAAGAAGGAAAGGTTCGAGGAGTTCAACATCTTGCAGGGCCAGGACTGGGGCCGATGCTTCTATCCAGCGAGGGCGGGGTCCAAGAAGATCCACGGACCAGTCGACGGGTCGTGGGCGCCCGTCTGGCGCGTGCGGGTCGCGCCGGCCTGCATGCGGCTGCAGGTGGTCTGGGACCCGCGCGGCGCTCGCAGCGTCGGGTGGCGGCTGCTGGGGCAGACCGGCGAGGAGGTGTCGACAGCGCCGCCGCAGCGCTGGACCCCGAAGAAGATTGGCGGCTGGAGGATCAGTGGGGAGCTGGGCAGGGGCTGGGCCGGCGGAGTCGTCTACACAGCGGAGTGGGAGGGCGTGGAGTCCGAGGAGATCGGGTGCTGCCAGAAGTGCTCTTGGCCCAGGGTGCCCCCAGGATTTCCAAGAGGCCCCCGCGGCCTCCAGAGTACCCCCCACGAGGCCCAGAGGGCCCCAGAGGCTCCGAAATGGAGCGGGAAGCTGTGGGCACCTTGGGCCAGGGGTACCCATCGGTCGTTGAAACTAGTCATTTCTGGAGTTCCAGGTTCCAATCTACTTTCAGCGCCTCCCTACTTCAATGATCGAGTGGCTTCGCCTTCTCCGTCCTCCCTAGGGGGCGGACGGAGCCCAATCTACATTCAACACCTTCCTGTTTCATGCTTCTACCTACTTTCTTCCGATCGGCGGTGCCTTTCTTCGGCGTCACCCCAACATACTTATACTATATGCGCGTCGCCCCCCACAGGGGCGACGAGCGCACCGAGAAATCTTATGATATATGCGTCGTGGCGGGCGCTTTCTGGCCACACCGCTCGGGAAACGATCTACTACAAGATGGGTATACAATATGTTCGGGTCGGACGCGCGCCTCCAAGGAGGACATATAGTATTAGTATGTCCCTGTGCGTCCCATGTCTAGCACCCCCCGAGGAGAGTGCGCTCTGGCACCGGCCTCCCGGGGTGGTCCGCGCCTTCTGGGTGCTCGTCTTTCAACGCGCCTGCCCCCGCGGCGTCGCGGCGGCCTCGGCGGCGTGCCGCGGGGCCCGGGCGGCAGCGAGGGAGCCTTTGAGAGACCTGCCGCCTGGCCCGACCCCGTCGGACACCAGGAGTCGCCGTGGGGGAAGCGGGTCCTGCGGGAAACGGACCCCCTGAGATCCGACGCCCCCCCCCCCCCCCAAAATGTTTTCGGCCTCGGGGGGCCCTCGCCGGGCCTCGGGAGCGTCAGAAAACAACCCGGGACGAAGCACCGGTCCTGGGGGAGTGGCCTGGACCTCGCGGGGGCCCACGCATCGAAAAGGTTGGAGCAGCGGGATGCTTGGGCCTAGAGGTCTCTCGCCGTTTCTGGCCCCCTGGAGCCCTCCACGGACCCCGGGACTCTCGGAGGGACCCAGAGATCCGACGTCGTGATTTTTGTCAATGCGGGGTCTCCGGCGGTCTCGACCCATTCCCCAGGACCGGTTTTTCCTCCTGAGTCGTTCTTTGACCGTCCCGGGGCCCGGCGAGGGCCCCTCGAGGCAGAAAACAGCGAAAATCCTGCATCTGGATTTTCTCAATACGCTGGGTCTCTGGGCACGGCTCGGGATGGAGAGAGCCGGTCCATGGCGGAGGCGTGCCCCGAGGTCCAGGGCCCGTTGGTCCCCCACCGCGGAAGAGGAGGGCGGAGTCCTGGCGCGCCGTGCGCTCCTCGTTCCGGGGCGCCGCGGGCTGCCCCGGGCGGGCGGGCGGCCGCGTCGTCACGCTGTTCCCGTCGGCTTTCGGGGGCGCCGCGCGCGGCGGCATGCCGGGCGGCTTCGTGCGGACCCTGTTCCCATCTTCGGGCCGGGCGAGAGGGGGGGACCGGGAAAGGGAGGGGGGGGACGAGATCTGCTGCATGTGTATGCAGCTGGTTTTGGCCTCGCCTCGATACGTGGGCGCCTCCCGGCGCCAGGAGGCGCCGGGAAAATCAGCTGCGTGAGCTGAGTCTCAGACCCCCCCTTTGCTATCCTCCGCCTCCTCCTCTTCCGCCTCCTCCTCCTCCTCCTCCTCCTCCTCCTCCTCCTCCTCCTCCTCTTTCGCCCGACCCGACATCTGTTCCCCGGTGTGCCGTCCGCGGCGACAACCCAGGCAGCATGGACCAGCTGATCACCCTGTTCAAGTCACACTGCTGGTTCGCCTGCGACGGCAAGGACGTCGCCAACGTCATGGCCACGTGTCAGCGGGCCTGCGCCGGCATCAGAGATCAGAAGGCAGCGTGCCTCCAGAGACGCAGCCGTGCCGATCTCCCGCCGGATCGGGCAGCAGAGTGTGCGGGGCCGGATCGAAGGGTCGGAGAAGTGGCTGCCCTGAAGCACCCCGTCCCTCAGCACGAGATCGAGGTGATGAAGCAGCTCGGCCGCCTGTCGGGCGTCCCGACGCTCCTTGACCACGGGTGTGGACCGGACGGGATGCCGTTCCTGGCAATCCCGGTGCTCGGGAGGTCGCTGGAGGAGGTGCTGCGCAGCTGCGACCACGACGGGCTGGGCGGGAGGACATCGTGGCCCGCCGCGAGGGCGCTGGGCGCACGCATGCTGCGCATCCTGCAGGACATCCACGGCATGGGCATCGTCCACTGCGACATCAAGCCCGGCAACGTGCTGGTCGGAGCCGACGCCTCCGTGCACATCATCGACTTTGGCCTCTCGTCGTGCTCCGCGTCTGCGCACTTCGAGCAGATTGTGGGCACGGTCCCGTACAACTCGGTCCGGTCGAGCTTCAGCTCCCGGCGCGCGGCCGCGGACGACCTCGAGTCCATCGGCTGGGTCGTCCTGAAGTGTATCCTCGGGAGGCTGCCCTGGGAGAGCCACAGCCCCGGGGCCACGGTGCACGAGCCAGAGCTCTGGCGCCGGAGAAGCGAGGGCATGTCCCTCGCGAAGGAGCTGTTCTTGGACGACCCGGGCGTGTTCGGGAAGGAGTTCGACCACTGTCCCCAGGGGCTGCAGCGGTTCCTCCAGCAGTGCTGCCAGCTGGAGCCGGGCTGCCCCGTGGACTACGCCCGGCTCGCGGCCCACTTCGAGGGCCCCAGTGCGCCGTGGGCCTCGTTCATCCCGAAGGAGAGAAGGCCAGCACAGCTACCATGAACTGACTGAGATCCGCGCGGATGTTTTGGATCGGCGCAGGCCCTCCTGGGCGCCGCCCCTTGGCGCCGCCCGTGGCGCGCAAGGCTCGCCAGGGCGGGGGGCTCCAGCGCCGTTGCGAGCCAGGGGGGGAGGTCGCAGTGCCGATGCAGGAATCGGCGCGGACCGCCGAGAGCTTATGCTCAGGCTGTTCCGTCTCCTCCCCGCCAGCCCATCCAGACACGAGTGTCAAGCAGAGGCGAAGCGTCCTGGCTCGCCTATAGGCCTGCCAAACAGTGCTCTAAGAACCTGTTGTGGTTTGCAGGACATGTTCTTAGAACATTCCTGGTTGAGACTGTCTTGTTTTGACGCAGTGGGTTACACATGGTTCATTTCTAAGTCTTCGGAAGTTCTTTGATTTTTGCTCATGGCCAAGATCCTTTCATTTCTAATTGCTCTATCCTGGGCCTCTTCCTGGCCACTAGGGGGCCAGGAACAATTAGAAACGAGCACAATTAGGAATGAGCGCAATTAGAAATTAATGACGTGTAATGTTCCAAGGACATTGCTTTTGTTCTTAAAACATTCCTAGGTTCTAAGAACATTCCGTGGTGGGACTGCAGGAATGCCAGGACGGTCGGTCCCTGCTCAAGAGTGCGCAGCTGAGCTGCCCTGACGGGGGAGTGCGGCAGCATGTGGAAGCATCGGGGGCCTGCGTGGGCCGGAGGCCCCTCGGATGCTTCCTTGTGTCTCTCGAGGTGTTTCGGGAGGGCATCTTGGGCATCTTGGGGCGTCTCCTTTGGGGCCGCTTGCCGGCCCCTCAGGAGGCATATAACGGAACGTTTTGGGTGCTCGGCTGGGCCTCTTGGGGCCCTCTTGAGGGCGTTTCGGGCCGTCTTGGGGTCACCTGGGAGGCTACCGATTGAAGAAGGGTGGGGTCCCTTGACAACGTTTCCCCCCCTTTCCAGGAGGCCCAGAGTAGCCCCAAACCCGAGGGAACTTCATGATGTTTGCTCTCTGGCCGATGCCATCTTGGACGCTCCAATGGGATCCAATGGGTCGTGGGGCGCCCCGAGGGGTCTCCAAGCCGCAAGCCGTGCCGCTCACTCCCAACCGCCATCCTAACACATGGGCAGCATGTCCGAGCCCAGGGCCCCGATCCCAATGAGCTCATGCGTCAGTGCCGAGCATTCAGTGAGAAGGGTGGAGCCCAAAGCACCAGCAACAATTCACATATTCACCGCCCACCAGACCACCCCAACCCAACCCGAAGGCCCCGATTTGCCCTCTATTTCCAGTGGGGGGTGGTCGGGGAACATTGACAACACACATGAAGCCCGTACCCACCCAAACCGAAGTGCGGGTCTTCAGGTTGGGTTGGGGTGGTCTGGTAATTAGATTAGTCACACATCATGCAAAGTGCATGTTGTATGTATTTCTCAAGGATGGTAAGCCTGCACAGAGTAGTCACTATGACGGCAGCCCCTGCCCCCCTGTCAAAAACCGGCAATGTTATAGCGCCCCCCCCGCAGGATCCAGATGTTGCCACGAAGTGTAGGTAGCATTGCGTCGGCAAGGATGGTGGGTCTGCGCAGAGCGGACGATCTTTACTTCGCTGTAGCAGAAGTTTCTCGGGAAAAACGCGCAAGAGACGCTCTGAATATGACCCCAAGCCAATGCCAAGGCGCAACCGAACTGCGGGAGTTGCATTCCGTCCGTGATCGTGTGTGGGAACTCTGACTCTCATGAGTGGGATGCGGCATGCCCTGAACCAGAACAGCACCATTGAAATACGTCAGGGAGGCGGGATCCCACCCAGACCACGCACCACGGGCGTCTTGCTGGGCTCCCAAGGGGTGGGGGCGGGCGGGGGGGGGAGGTCGGGACAGCGCCTCCCGAACCGTCGCCCCCCTCGGGGCCGCTGCCGCGGGGTGACCGTGCTGGCAGGCAGCGTATTGCCAGCCTGGCGAGGCGGCAGCAGTCCCGGGAGCTTCCTCGCAGCACCGGCGTGCGAGGGCACCGCCGGCCGTCCCTTGCGAGAGCCGGCGCGGAGGGATCGGGGCGAGGGGGGAGGGAGGAGGAGCGGCGGTTGCGGAGGGGGGGCGGGCGAGGGAGGCGAGGGGGGGGCGAGGGGGCGGGAGGGGAAGGCGAGGCGAGGAGGAGGCGAGGCGAGATGGAGGCGAGGAGGGGGGCGAGACTGAGGGAAGGTCGGGGGGGGGAGCGCCCGCGCACGCCCCACAGTGCGCCCGCATAGGGAGGGTGGGCAGCCTTCCCAAGGGTACCTCTGCATCCTTGCCCCTTCGGTACACCCTCAGCGACTTTCGCTGGCCAGCCTCGCTCGAAGAGCGTTAACCAGAAGCCAGGCGAAGGCTGGCAAACCCGTGGCTGCTAAAACGGAGCTCCGGGAAATTGTTTTTCTTCCGGGAAGCAGCCCGTTTACTATTTGAGTTGTATTCAAGGAATTTGTTCTCTTTCCTCCAGGAAGACCGTTTTAGCAGCCACGGATTTGCCAGCCCTCGTCCAGCGTCCAAGTTAACATGGCCCTCCAAGGCCCTTGCATCCGAACCGCGCCTCCCTATTCGGCATCGTTTAACCAATCCCCATCCCCATCCCCATCCCCTTCGAGACCCCCACCAAACCACCCCCCCAGTTCGGGATACACCCCTCGAGACCCGAAGGGAACGGCCTGTGTCCCCATCTAGGGGGGGGGGGGGGGGGAAATCGGCCAGTGGTGCCCAGGCCACGCCGCTGGGGAGGGGAGTCGGTTGAACGACGCTCACTGATGATACGGGTCGACTGCAGCTCGCCGCAAAGCGTCCCTCGCAGTGCGCTCTGACAGGGGCTCGGGCGGGCCGGCCTCCCCCCGCCGCCCCCTGTGGGCAAACGGGTGCAGACAGTGCCCACCGGGGCGACCGCGCACGGACGACATTCTGCCGCAGAGCAGCAGAAGGAGGAGGAGGACGAGGAGGAGGAGGAAGAGGAGGAGGAGGAGGAGGAGTAGGAGGAGAAGGAGGAGGGGGAGGCGGAGGAGGAGGGGGCGGTGGAGGAGGAGGAGAAGGAGGAGGACGACGACGAGGAGAGGAGGAGGACGAGGATGAGGACGAGAAGCTTTTGACAGGGATGGCGGAGGTTGTCATTGGCCCAAGTGTGTCGCCGGTCGGGTGGGGGACGGGGTGCATAGTCATAAGGAGCAGTAACAAGCCCCTCCCCGAAGGAGAAGAAGCGGTTTGAGAGAGGAGACGCCCTAATTCACTCACGCCCTGAAGGGCTGGTAGGATTTCCTACGAAGTCGGCTCCTGGGGCCTCGACCACTTCCCCAGGGCCAGCTTCTCATCCTGCGCCGCCTCTGGATGGTCCTGGTGGGGCTGGGGAGCACCCTTGGAGGCTGAGAAGCGATGACGCGACCGCCGTCACGATCGGCCGGCGTCGCCAGGACCTGAAGCTCATCGTGAACTTTCGGGTCCGCTTTCGTTGCCGCACGGTCCTAGCCAGCTCGGGTGGCAACGCAGGCTTCCACTGTGCTTATGCGAGAGGACGTTTGCAATCATCAGCCGGGTGCAGTCAAAACTCATAGCAAGGACGCACGGATGTCCTCAGGGAGTCCTTGCGTCTTTGCCCCTGCGGCCCGTCCTTCGCGGCTATCACTGGCCAGCCCGTCAGGACGCTGCCAGCTCGCCGCCCAAAAAGTGCCAGCTTCCGGCGCCCAAGGCTCTTGCGTCCTCACGTCCGTCTCTGCTCTAGATTTCGACCGCAGCTTGCCGAGAAGCGACGGCGCTGGGGTTCGTTTGGCTCTCTCTTCTTCTGTCATCAACCCGCCCGGGTGCACCGTCTTCCAGGCGGCCCGGGGCCTGCTCGTGTGGCGGGCCCGGGGGCCGGCGACCGAGCCGGCGGGCGAGGAGCGCGCTTGCCGGGTGCGGCGCAAGCTCGTGCTGCGGACCACCGGGCTGCGGGAGCGGTGCGCGCAGGGGCGCGAGTGGCTGCAGGCGGTGCGCTCCAGAACCCCAGAGATCCATCGCATTGAATAAAGCAAGACGGAGGTTTTTCACAGTTTTCGGCTTCAAGGGGCCCTCGACGGGCCCCGGGACCGTCAGAAAACGACTCAGGATGAAAGACCGGTCCTGGGGAATGGGTCGAGACCTCCGGGGACCCCGTATTGAAAAAATCACGACGTCGGAATTATGGGACCTTGACTCCAGATCCGCAGTACCCTAGGCCTCCTAGATGGGGTCCGGGCAGATGGGGTCGGAGGATCGCGCCGCATCGCCGATGCATCGGCGACGCGGCTCGATGTGGAGCCCGATTTTCTCCACGCCGGCGTCGCGGGTGCATCGCCGACGTATGGCCGATGCATCGCCGATGCATCGGCGAAGCATGGCCGATGTATCGGCGATGCGGCGAGATCCTCCGACCACATCTACTCGGTCCCCAGCTAGGAGGCCTCTTAAGTACTTCCTGAGAGATGTCGCAAGTGGGGAGGAAATGTCCGCCCCACTTGTCGAGCTCCTTTGATTTGCCAATTTCCACCCTGCCTTGCCGTCGCTGTGTTCGCCATGCTGGTACGGAAATGTGACCCGCCCTCTCTTTTTTTCTGAGGTTGGAAATCCTGCCCCCTTGCTTCGCGCAGTTTGGGGCAGATGTCCGATAAGTCAACCAAAGTACGGCGGACCTGGAGTCAGGGATCGCCTTCCCTCGCAGGCCGAGAGGTTGACACCAACACCAACATCGGCGGTGTGCCTCCATCGAGGGAAGAAGATCCCGATCTCGGTGATGGTGGTAATATTCTGGCTTCCAAGGTGGCCGAAACATTACCACCAACACCGAAATCTAGGATCACCTTCCCCCTGTGGAGGCACCCCCCTGTGTTGGGGTTGGTGCCCATTTCCATGCCTCCAATTCCCTGATCCCCACGCGTCGTGGACACATCGCGGGCCTGTCCCCACAGCGATTATCGGGAGGGCAGGCTGGCCTCCATGCAGGGGTCCCTTGGGGACCCAGAGATCCAACGCACCGAAAAAAGCACCACGGAGGTTTTTGCGCGATTCTCGGCCTCGAGGGGCCCTCGCCGGGCCCCGGGACCGTCCGAAGACGACTCGGGATGAAAGATTCGGCCCTGGGGAATGGGTCGAGACCTCCGGGGACCCCGCATTGAAAAAATCACGACGTCGGAAGGAGAGGGAGGAGGAAGAGGAGGAGGAGGAGGACGACGATGAGGAGAGGGAGGAGGAGAAGGAGCAGCAGGAGGAGGAGGACGAGGAGGGGGAGGGGAAGGGGGAGGGGGAGAGGGAGGGAAGGGAGGAGGGAGGAGGGATGGAGGAAGGAGGGGGAGGATGAGGAGGAGAAGGGGGAAGGAGGAGTCTCTGGGGAGCCACGCTGTGAAGAGAGGTCTCGGCGTCGGGTGCGGAAGGCCGGCGGGAGGCCATAGGGGAAGCAAGACGGGCGGCGGCGCTCCGCCGGTGGAAGGCTGGCGGAGCCAATATCGCCTCCGCCGTCCTCCCGCCCGCCAATTGGTGCTTCCCAGGAAGTGCAGTGGAGACTCCTGTCGGGCCGGACGAAAGGGGGGGATTGGGAAATCGGGCGTTGCGTAATGGAGGGGTCATAAATGGGGGGGTGGCGAGGGTGGTCCGAAAAGGTACCCAAACGGTACCTAAACGAGCCCCCTGGGGCTCCAGAGGGGCCCGAAAGGGGCACGAAAGGGGACCGTTTCTGACCCCCCCATTTATGACCCCCCCATGAAGCCACGCCCAAGGGAAAGGGGGGGTTACGAAATTTGCTGCATGCAGCCGGTTTCGGCCTCACCGAGGGGCCCATTCCTCGATACACAGCCGCCTCTGGCGCCGGGAGGCGCCGGGAGAATCGGCTGCGCGAGCTGATTCTCAACCCCCCCCTTTGCTATCCCCCCCTTTCGCCCGACCCGATCGTGCCAAGAAGCAACCTGCACGCCTCCAGGGTGCCATGGGCTTCTTGGGCTTCGATGGTTCTGCTATGGAGAGCGTGACGTCTCCAAGCCAAAAAAGTCAGTGGGCGTCCTGGGGTCTCAGGGTTGGGCTTCTTGTGGAAGGTTTCTTGTGGACTGGCCTCTACTGCACACTCCCAGGAAGTATAGGTGCAGTCAGCTCGCGCAGCAAGGACAAAAAAATGTTCCAAGGCCGCCCGTGCATCCTTCCCCCTTCGGCCCACGCGTGTCCGCTTTCGACGACCGCGCCCCGCCAGCAAAGTGTCGGCATGGCCTGCCGACATTGGCGCGCGAGCTGGTCGCGTGAGGTCGCGCGCAAGCGCCCTCGTCTCCATGGTGGCGCGTCGCCCCGGCGGCCCGCGTAAGCCGCGGCGTAAGGTCGCTATAGGTCATCTCGCGTAAGACCCGTTCCAGGTCGTCAGCCCACGTGTTGACGTCGCGCGGCGAGCCGCGCGACGTCGACATGTTCCCGCGCAGGGTTTTCGGACACCGGCCAGGTCGACCCCGTCTGGGCCCCGGGTCGGGCGGAGCCCCTGACTGGGCCGAGCTGGGTGTTGCTCGCTGGGGACGACGCCGGCGCCGAGGGCCCCCTGCTGGTGGCCAAGGGCTACCTCGCGAAGCCCAGGAAGCAGCGCCGGTAGCGCGCCCGTGTGAGGCGTTGCAGAAAGGGTTTCGCCTTCCCAGCAGCTGAGCAATCTTACTTGTATGACTTGCTGTGCTCAGAGCAGTAACATATACAATTACTCATACACAGACACAGTTGCCTTTACCTATGGTCTGCGTGTCTTCAGACTTGGATTCAGTTGGCTTTCGCTACCTCGAAGTATCTTTGAGCAGAGACATGCCATCTCTTATCGTCCGAGTGGCCTTCCGCTCATCCCGCCACCGTGCCTGGCTTGTGGGTCAGAGTTCCGAGGGATGCTTCTTCGGGTCTCTTTGAAGCGCCCTCGGGGGCCTCTTGGGGCCTCTTGGGGGCCTTTTTGGGGACCTCTTGGGGCCTCCTGGAGGTGCCGAGGGCTCGAAATGTCCGTTCGGGTTCCCCATCTGGGCCTCCTCTTGGGGCCGTCTTTGGGCCCTCGTGCGCCGTCTTGGGCGCCTCTTGGGCTGTCTTGGGGCCCTCTTGGGCCATCTTGGGCCTTCTTGGGTAAGCCACAAGGGCTCCCTCGAGGGCGCGAAGTTATTCGCGCTTCGCGGTCCTCGTTCCTTCTCCCCCTCCTCCTCGTCCTCCTATTCTCCCTTTGGGAGGGCGGCGCGAGAGCGCGAAGTTATTCGCGCTTCGCGCTTCGCGCAGCGCGAAGCGCGAAGTTGGGAGCAGCCATCTTGGGGCGGTCTTGGTGGCCTTTTGGGCCGTCTCGGAGCGTCAGGAAGCCGAAAAGGCGATAAGGCCAAGCACTGTCAAAAGCCTATGGAGCACCTGTGATTGTTGCCTTTCCGGGTCCTCATGTGAGGTCCCTTGGCGGATTATTGGTGCGTTTTGGACGCTTCTCTGGCCATCTGGGGACCGTTTTGGGCGTCTTGGAACGATCATTTGGCGTCTCAGGGCCCTCTTGGACCGTCTTGGTGGCCTCTTGGGACCCTCTTGGTCCGTCCTGGGGCCCTCTTGGGGCCCTCTTGGTCCGTCCTGGGGCCCTTGTGCGAGAAGATGCCCCAGAGCCCAGGGGAACCGCACCAAACCCAAGAAGATTTGAGCATGCGGGGCCCAGGCACTTAAGAAGCTCCACCTGCGCTCGGGACTGCTCTTCCGGCACCCACCCTCCCCACCCCCAGGGTACCATATCCCCGGGAGTGGCAGGAACGCGCCGCGGGCATTCCTTGCTTTTAGCTGGTGGACACCGCACCATGCGCATTTTTTCGATGGCCCTCGCGTTCTTGCCCCCCGACCTCACGTCGACCAGCACCCGGGACTCAGACCAATGACGTAATCTCGCCCAACCCGCGCCGACACCGACACCAAGGACTTTCTTTTCCTCCTCCTCCCCCTCACCTCCTAACTTTTTACATGTCTCGTATTGCATGAATCCAGACACCTCAGATCCTAGAGGCCATGGCCTCACCCACCTGGTCTGCCCTAGGCCCAGACGCTGTCCGCAACGGTGGTCGCATCGCAGCCCCTCGGCCCATCCTGGCCGTTGGCCATGACTCCTGGGCTTCAGCTTCGGCGTCGGTGCGGGCGCCCGCTGGCCCCGCACCCCCACCGCGCATCCCCTGTGGTCGGGTCGCAGTGAACGCTGGGAGCGCAAAATGAGGAGCAGGCCGGCTAGCAGGTGCCCCGCAGAACGTATATATATACAAATACACACACACACACACACACACACACACACACACACACACACACACACACACACACACACACACACACACATATATATATATATATATATATATATATATGGGGCTCCTGGTGGCCCTCCTGCGACCCGAGCGGGTCCCTGGGGCGCTCCGCGAAGCTTCGTCGAAGACGCCGGCGGCGAGTCGCCGATGCCCCCCGTCTCTCGGCGTCGGCGGCGCGCCTGCGCCGGGAAGTGCCGGCAGGCTCCCCCAGGCCGCAGGGGAAACCAGCGTGGACAGCATTAGCGAGGCATCGAGTCACGAGCGCCTCTGGCCATTCGCAAAAAAAAACAGAAACGCCGAGAGCGGGCTGCGCTCGATCGGGACTCAACCGGCGGTGGCGCTTGCGACAAAGTGAAAAAAAAAAAGCATTAGCGAGGCATCTGGCCTCTGGGGCATTCTTGGGGAATCCTGGGGCCCGCTCTTGGCATCTGGGCTCAGATCGTCTCAGGGCGCTCTTTGGCCGTCTGGCGCCTCCGGGGGCAACCTCCTGGGCCTCGTTGGGCCGTCCTGTGGCCGTTCTTTGGCCATTAGGGGCCTTCTTGGGGTTCTCTTGAACAGTCGTCGGGCTTCAATGTGGCACTCTCGAGTTGTTTGGGGCCTAGCGGCGGTATTGGGGGCCTGGTGGGCTGTCTGAGGCTGTCTGGGGCTGTCGCAAGCCGGAAAGGGCGAGAACACGAACACATGTCTAACAAACCACGAGAGCCGATGGTTTTTGCCAAGTGGGGCATTCCTGGTGGTCCTCTTGGAGCCCTGTTGTTGCGTCTCGGGTGCCTATTGGGCCTTCTTGAGGCCATCTTGGGCCGTGCTGGAGGGCGGGAACTGCCGAATGGGATACGGGCCAAGAAGTGCTCTGGCCCACCAGCGTTCTAAGTATAGGCGCGCCAAGCACTTCTGATGCAAGCGCACGGGTCGGCGTCAGTGGCCGTCGACTTATCTCGCCACGGTGCTTGGATCGTTGACCCGAGGCCTCTTTGAGACCTCTTGGGATCTGTTGGAGGGCCTTTTGGATACCTCGGCGATCGAAATGGGAACGGAAAGAACGGGTACAGTGTCCAACAGCAGTTCTTGTTCATTTCGAACATGACTCGTTGTCCGCGCCGCCGCGGACATAGTTCTCTGAAGACAAAAAAGCCGCCTGCCCAACAGTGGGCGCTGTCAGTGTTGGACAGCCTTTGCTGTTGGTCATTGCACACATTAGTTCCGCACCCATTTCGGGCGTCTAGATTCAGGTACTCTTGGGGGCCTCTCGGGGGCCTTGGAGACGGTATCGGGGGTCATCGTGGGGCGAATGCCCCAGAGGCCCCTTCGAGGTCTCCATCTCGGTCCAGCTTGAGGCCCTCTCGGGGGGCTCTTGGGCCCAGGGGCCGTCCTGGGGCGATCAGAAGCCGCTTTGGGGCCGTCTTGGACGCTCCTGCGATCGCGAAGGCTGGTACTGCGTAAGCGAGCAATGGCGAGCACAACAACATGATGTTGGCCTCGTGGGCTGGCCTCAAAGGCTTCCCAGACGGCCCACGGCAGAGCCCATGGTGCCTTGGGGCTGAGCCCCAAGGCACCATCTCAGGGTCATGTCGGGAGTTTGGAAACCGCGCCGCGCTCCCGAGGCCTCGGGCAAGCCACTGCCCAAGCCTACTTGGGAGCGCCAGGGAGGTCCGAGGAGTTCTGGGAATCCAGGATCGGGGGTTCAGTCAAGTCGGGCATGTGCCCCTTGCAGGATGAATATTCCAAAATCGCCTGGGATGATTGTTCTACTGTTTTTGCCAATGTTCCGTAGTTTTGAATATGTTTCACGTTTCTTCCAAAATCCGCCTGTAAGAGGACATGCCCGACCTGATGCTAGATGCAGATGCGTGAAGGGACCTGGGGACACTCCACATAGTGTTTCGGGGCACGGTTGCGGATATTGATGAAGTCGTGGCGAAGTTTGAGAAGTCAGCGGGCAGACCGAACCAGCGACGTTGCTCACAAAGAAGTGTGACACTGGCAGGAAGCAAGAACGATGATTAGGACGAGGAGACGGAGGAGTAGCAATAATAGAAATGTCAGGCAGCTGGGGGTGTGAGAGAGGGGGGAATGAGGAGGGATGAGAAGGGGAGGGAAGAGGCAGCAGGAGGTGGAGGAGAAGGGAGATGGAGCAGGGAAGAGAGAGGAGGCAGGGGATCAGGGAATAGGGAGATGGAGGACTAGGAGGAGGCAGGACGACGACATTGACGACGACGACGACGGACCTAGACAACGACGACGACGACGATCTAGACAACGACGACGACCACCACCATGGCGAAGGCGACCACGTCAACGGCGACCATCCTGACCAGCTCTCCAAGTCGCGTCTTGGCGCGGTGACGAGAAGCTGCGGACACGCCCCATGAGCGTCCATGCTGATGATGTTGACGAAGACTGCGACGACGACTTCGACTTCGACCTGGACCTCGACGACGACGCTGGCGCCAGCGACGGAGGCGGCGCCGACGCCGCTGGCGACGGCGACGGCCTGCGACGACGACGATGAGGAACGCGGCTTGGCCCCGGCTCGAGCAGAAGGAGGAGGAGGAGCAGGAGGAGGAGTAGGATGAGGAGAAGGAGCAGCAGGAGAAGGAAGAGGAGGAGGGGGAGGACGAGGAGCAGAAGGAGCAGGAGGGCGAGGACGACGACGACGACGAGGCACGCGGTTTGGCCCCGGCTCGAGCAGAAGGCCGCAGCGGCCGCACCCAGGGCGGGAGGCTAACCTCTCCTCCTCCTCCTCCTCCTCCTTCTTCTCCAGGGTGGGAGGCTAACCTCTCACCGGCTAGCAGGTTCCCGCCGCCGTCGTCGTCGTCGTCGTCGTCGTCGTCGTCGTCGTCATCGGGGCCAGGCCCGTGGTGGTGGTGGTGGTGGTCGTCGTCGTGGTGGGCTTTTCACGCGGGAGTGGGCAGACCTGGGCGATTTGCCACAATCTAAGCCTCCTAGATGGGGTCCGAGTAGATGGGGGTCGGAGGATCGCGCCGCATCGTCGACGCATCGACGATGCGGCTCGATGTGGAGCCCGTGTTTCCTCACGCCGACGTCGCCGATACATCGCCGATACATCGCCGATACATCGGCGATGCATTGGCGATGCGGCGCGATCCTTCGATCTACTTGGACCCCATCTATGAGGGCTCTACACAATTAGGGCGGTCGGGTTGCTAGACCCCTGTGCGACCCCTGTGAAGTCTTCCGAGGGAGGAAGGCTCCGTCGAGGAGAAGTTCCAGGGCGGAAAACAAGGTTGGGGAAGGCTTTCCGCTCTCTTCTCTGTCTCCCTCTCCCTCTCTCTCTCTCTTTCTCTCC